ATTAAATCAGTCGTCGACGATTTTGATAGTCGACGTAATCGTGACTAGTCGACTAATCGTGGCAGCCCTACCTTTCACATAGAATGCGGCATGTGCCATGCTGACCGCCAACTAGAGTGAGAACCCAAACTTTGCACATGCGCTCTGCTTGTACGCCATTTTTTTGCAGCTGCTCTACATGTACTAGATGCGCCTACTTCTTATCATTTCCTGGTCATTTTAAAACATTTATCTCTCTGACTTTCTATCCTCCATGAGAGTTTGTGTTGTATTATGTTCAAATGTTTAATTACAAAAAATAAAAATGTATCGCTCATTCATTGAAGAAGAAAGCTTTGTAACTTTCCCACCTGTGAAGACTGTGTCGTTTCCACTGCACTGCTTTCCTTCCGAGGTCCACTAAGTCATTGAAAAGGCTGTGGGGGTCCCTACATGCATGTTAACCTGTGTCAGTGTTTACCGGACTCAGATAAGCAAAGTGAAGCTTTCCTTCACTGTGCAAGAAATAGACATGAATGTGTTTCAGAGAGCAGCTCCTGTGTGAAAGGCCTGTGTTACGTGCTTAAAAGCACTCACTCACTTTTTTACACAATTTGAGCAGTTAGTATTTTGCCCAAGGAAACTTGGACGTTCAGACAGAAGGAGCTGGGGATCGAACCACTCACCTTTTAATTAGTATCGTCTTTTCCAGTTACATCCAGTTACTGGTCAATGAATTACTTTGCACTATTTTCTTTATGTGTTTAAAAAAATGTATTAAATGAATAAACTGGCCTGTTACAGTCAAATTCTGTGACTGTAACATGTACATGTTCTGAAATACTATAATGTAGCTGTTACCTTCTTGAGCTTGCTCTGGTCGTCCTTATAGGTGATCATGAGAGCGAGGGCCAGGTCACCCTTCACTCGTCGAGTTCCTTCACATAGCAGAGGATGCTCTGCCTCGCTGACTGTGGTTTTCATGCCTGCAGTCACAGAGGGTGGACACAAAACAAAGGTTACAATTGAACATTTGTGAGAAATAGTGAGCAGGAAAATAAGTAGTGAGGATGGAGAAGAAGATACTGATGAACACTGAGAGGAACGAAACCAATCAATTGGTGAATAAATTTACCAAGTGCAGCAACAGCAGCCTCAAAACCCAGCTCCTCATCTCCAGGCATCTCATTGTTGCGGTTGCGGCTCGGTGGACGGGAACCCGTTGGAGACACAACTGCACAAAACAGTATGGAGAAAAGTGAAAGGGACATAAATTCAGTCAATCTCCCTTAAAATTCCTCAGTCTGTTCCTAAAAAGACAATATGAGCTTCTTCAACGTTCAGTACGCTACAAATAAAGCTGGTGGCCAAGAGATGTTCACTTTCATATTACATAGAAAAAGGCAATTTAACAGAATACTTAGAATTCTTTAGTCTTGTATTATTTTTTTAATTTTATTGTGATTGAATCAAGCTAAAAATCCTGTTTAAGCGATTAACAATTTCCCATAATTTCTGTGTCCATCGCAACTGTCAAATAAAGGCAAAAAAGCTGAATACATGTAATAAAACTAAAACCTTAGTATAAGGATTTGATTTAGACTTTTAAGAAAATATCTGATCTTCTTTGGGCAAGCAGCCATGAGACAATGGCATGGTTGTGTTTACATCCTAAACATATATGACAA